AGTTTTAGTCACTTCCGTGTTGGTTTCACGAGAGAGACCGGAAGGTTGCCGCTTGGGTGTAATCAATACTTCAGCGAGAATAAAAGTTACGCCTTCTTTCTTTGTGTATACATTTCGGCGGTGTTATGCAAATCTTCCCACAAAATGACGTAGATTTGTGGGGGCGTGTTTGAATGAGGCGTTTTAGGAAGGCATGGTTGACTCTAAACTTTTAGAAAGAATATCTCTTTGGGTTTGAGACTGCAACTTTAACGGACCTTATCTATGCACAAACAGCTTTTAACACTCCAAAGAGAAAAGAAAACATGAAATTGCATCATATGACATCTAATAAATAAAAAGAAAACAAGTACATAGAATAGAAATAGAATAGAGAATGCTAGTGTCGGAGGATCAAGTGTAGATTTAGTGTTTTTATGTGTTGATATGATGTCTGGGTTTTTATTTATTGTATTTTATTTATTACTACATTAAAAAAAACCTAGATCAACCCAATCAAAAAATATGCTGTATTATAATAATTAATATAAATATTTTATGCTATGTGCAATAATTTATTTATTTATTTTAGACAGAAAAGAACAAACCAAGACCATGTTTTTTGGTCATGATTTGGTAATGCTGAGTAGTTGTTGTGGAGCTGTACCATGGTAGTTCTGTTGTTCTGTTAATCTCTAAAGCACCATCTTCATTAGTCAATCTCTTGTGTGTCTGTGAGCGGTTCAGATGTTGCAATCTGAACTATTTTAGTAAGCTGCATATGGTCGTGTCAGGAAGTGTTTGTGATGGTTATAATGTCACTTCAGTTTACAGACACACTCATCACGTTATGTAAGTGAAGATAAACAAACTATCCTGTGACATGATGGAAAACGTCAGCTCTTGATTTACGCAAGGACCAGTTCACCCAAAAATGAAGACACTGTCATTATTTATTCTCCCTCATGTCATGCATCTCAATCTTTAAAGAATCATCTACTCGCACGAACACTCTCAAACAAAGTACAAGACTCATCCTTGTACCTTATTTACCCCTAAAATGTGCATATTAGTACTTAAAAAGTACAAATAAAATACATAAACATGTACATATTAGTACTCTTTGAAAGGCCCCAGTTTTGTACATCATCTTATGAACTACTGTTATATATGGTGTTTTTGTCTTTATAACTATGCTGTTATTATGTTTCATTGCAAATAATGTTATTATAGATATACTGTATGTAACTAATGGTTGTTTTATTATTGGATGAACTATTCCTTGAAGTGTTTTCTGTTCGTTCAGCAAATCATCATCATTGTTAGTAGAAGAACCTTCATTCAGCATTTGTTTGCAGTAGTTATCATCATCATTTACTGTACGATTTTCATTGTCAATCATAGTCATCATTATTATTGTCATTACCAATTAATATTATACCACAGACTTCAGGTTATGTTGGTTAAAGTTAATTATTTAAGCATCAGCGCCCCCTGCTGGCTCACTTCAGTGTTGTAAGGCACAGTTCATACAGTACAATGTTAGATCTGATTTTGAATTTGACTGATTATATGACTGCTATTCAAAAGAGTAACTAAATGTACACGAAATGTTGATTTTATTTAATCAGATGTAGAAAACAAGGAGTGGAGTGAAACTGGCACTGGACATCACTGGACTGAAACCATGGTTATTATTGTTATCTAAAAGTAAAACAATAAAAAAAAAAATCATTACTTAAAATAAAAGAACAGTAACTCCAATAATTATTTAAAAAAATTGTATTTATTATTTTATTTTATTATTATTTATTTTAAATAACATATTTTATTTTATGTATTATTGTTTCATAATTGAAAAATGTTATATATTGTTTAGTTTAACTTCATGTACTAAGATAATTAAAAACTACAAATACATATATAAAAATGAATGGATGAATAAATAAATTTACTAAACAACATTACTAAAACTTTAAAATTGAAATAAAAAAGGAAAATATAAAATAAAGTATTTTTTAAATAAAACTATGATAATATATCAATAATGTATTTTTGGCATTTTTAGTGGTTTTTATATGTTCATATAGTTTTTATTAATTTTTAATTCAGCTTTAGTTACTGGAGTACATCAGGTTAAATGAAAATGAGAATAGATTCCTTGGAAACTAGCTGGAATCAAATATATGTAATTTTTTATTTTATTTCAGTTAACATTTATTTTATTTCAAGCAACACACTTTTTATGGTTTTATTTTTAAATGATGCTCTCTGCACTTGTCTAGCATTGTCTAGCACTTCTCAGAACTGCGTCTGCTGTCTCTGGAGATGTTTAGGGAAGTCCAGTTCTTTCAGTGAATTGGATCCTCTCGTATGTCCACGACTCAGTTGTGTGTGGAGCTGGTCGTCTCCAGATGGTAAAGAGAAACAACTAATGCTGAGTTCACACTGCATGCAAAACCTGTCGGCGAGTGAAAAATCGGGCTAAAATCGTGCAGTGTGAACTCGGCATAAATAACAGCTTTATCTTCACCGAGAGTCTTAGCTGTTCGGTCCTCAGAAAGTAAAAGCATAGACGACTCCGACCACCACGATGTTTCCGACGGTGGCGATGATGGCGATCCAGAGCCAGACGGCGTCGCTGGACACGCGCTGCGGCTCCTCCTGCTGGACCGGTGCTGATGATGCAGGAGGCGCTGCGTTCACGCTGGCCGAGGAGTTAAAGAGCGAGTGCTCTGTGCTGCAGTCGTCCAGCGGAGACGCGTCCATGAACGCGCCGCTCATCACCGGAAGCTAAAACACACAGAGTTCAGCAGGTCACTGGTTATGATGCACTGAAGTTTTTTTACCTGGATTTTTAAACCTTTTGTGTGGATGAATGCTAGTGTGTTCCTATAGGTTGCTAGGGTGTTCCCTAGTCTGTAGGATTTATTTCACCTCTTTTGTAGAGTTTTATTTTATTTATTTTTATTTTTTTGGATGACATCCTCACTCTCTTGGTCGCATCACTAACCCTAACTGAGTAATGGTAGTAGTAATACTTTGCTGCTTAGCAAATACCTCAAGTAACATCATTGGGTTTGCAATTTTATTTTATGAGTTGCATGTGAGGAATATCTGTAATGTATGCAGCCTGACCAAATCCTGCCGCAGACGCGGAGGAGAAAAGGCATCAAACTGAAGCAGAGCAGAATGCTGTTGCTCCGTCAAGAGAATATTTCTCAGAGCGTCTTCACGTCTGTTTTGAGTGGCACAGTTAGAGGAAAACTCATGAGAGCATGTTTGTGGCCTCAGGCCTGTTTCTCAGGGAACTCAGGCTTCATTAATGTGCTGTACATATTTAGAAAGTGGGAAGTGATGGTGATTTATTGAGTGAGACAATTAAAGCCCAACAGCACCGGTCGCTGGCGCGATAAAGAGCCTCGTCTCACGTCTACTGTACATACAGTATGAGGCATCGAAGGAAGTGTGATCTTTTAAAAAAACACAGAAAACCTTTCCTCATGCTTACTGACACAAACACCATCATAAAATAGCTACTTCAAGTGCTGTGGAGAAAAGGTTTGGCTGGTAGATTACTGTAACTACACTATCTGATTATAAGCATATGATTACAATAATTACATTTTTGAACAGTAATAATATTTGCTTCATAACCTTTGTAATGAAGTGTTTTTTTTTAGCTGTGCATTTGCAGTACTAAGTGAAGCCAATTTAATACTATTATTTTGAAAGGTTAGACTTTAGCAGTGTAGTATTGAAAATAAATACAGTTATTTTATTATTTTGATTATTGAGATACTATTATACTTTTTAATAATAGATTGAATTTAAATTTTGCTCTGCAGTGAATGGGTGCCGTCAGAATGAGAGTCCAAACAGCTGATAAAAACATCACAATAATCCACAAGTAATCCACAATTTATTGTTTTTTTTTTCATTTTGCTCAGTTTTATTTTAGATTTTATTTGTTTATTAATAATTTATTATTAATATATATATTTTTTAATTTTAGTACATCAACTAAATGAAAATGAGAAATTAGTTAAGTTTAGTAAAATAAGAAAAAAAAAATTCTAAAATGTTTAAGTATTTTATTTATTTAATTTAATTTAAGTTTTTTTTATTTTATGGTTTTAGTGAACTATAATGACCCTGATACACTAACTCTGCTCGTTTGTCTCAAGCTAATGATGAGGCCCTTCAAGACCTCTGTGTTTACACATTACAGCGGATGTGAACCGTTCGCCTCGCTGCTTTTCCAGCCCTGTAACTTATTGATTCTGCCACACAATCAATAAATGCATGACTAATGAGGGTTGTGGAGTGCTGGATGAAATCAAACCTAAGGATAGGATAATAGATGGTGTCGTTTATATGTGCATACATTTCAGAGACTACATCCTCAAGCAGCATTAAAACATTTTAACACTGACCTCAGATCATCTGGTTGTAAATACGGTTTACCAACAGATTCTCTATTGATGTTCAGTGTGAGCTGGAAAAACTAGAGATGGCCAGTTACATCCAGTTGCAAACTGACTCCGCTGTGCATTTATTGTTTGTGTTTTTACTTAGTTTTATTTTTTCTTCATGGCAGTTTATTAGTGTGGTATCATGTACAATACAACATAGGATGTCACATAATTTGGCAGAATTTGAATGAATAAATCGAAAGAATGAATGAATAAGATTTAAATGCAATGTTCATTTGTCAAAAAACGGAAGGAATTTCCAAATTTCATTTTGATTACATTTTAAAGGATTGCTTAAATTGTTAAAGTTTAATGCATTCATTTGATCACGGCTGTTTTTTGATAATTTGTAAAACACTAAGCATTAAAACCTTCTAAAATAACTGTGACCTCTGGGACGGCTCATGCTGCTGACTCACTGTAGTACAAACTTCATATAATTTCCTATTTCCTGTTCCTGTTCCTCTTTCCTATTTCCCTATTCCGTTTCCTGTTGCACAAAAGACAAACAAACAGTCAAAGTGCAACTGTTTTTTTGCAATACAAAAATGAAACTTATCTTAGTTGTCAAGGCAACATTTCTCATTTTTGTTTAGTTTAAGCTGAAGTACTAAAATGATTAAAAGTAAAAACTCAAACTTAATAAAAACTATATAGACACGTGAATATAAATAATTAATTAATAATAATGACAAAAACACAAAACAAAATAACTAAAACGTACAAAAATAAAATGAAAACCGAGAATATAAAAATAAAATGAAGTCATAATATTATCAGAAACTGTAAAAGTATATCAAAGATACTAAAATAGCACTGGCTTGACTGAATGAATGATGAGAATGAAACTAGTGTTCTGACACATAATAGCAAGCAAAATTACAAGCCAATGTGTTTTCTTTTTAAGCATGCATTATTAATATAAGAACCAATATTTTATTTATGCACAATTGTCGGGAACAGTCTGAACTCATTAGATGTGGAAAAATTCTACATTACAACTTGTTCTCATAAAACACACCCACTCAGAGTTTCATAATGTCATTTCAATATTTAAGCCTTTGAAGCTGGAAAAGAAATTCCACTTTAAACAAAAGCTTCATTACAGCCGGATGAAAAATGCATTTTCAGCTCTTTTGTCAAAAAATGGAAGGAATTTCCAAATTTCATTTTGATTACATTTTAAAGGATTGCTTAAATTGTTAAAGTTTAATGCATTCATTTGATCACGGCTGTTTTTTGATAATTTGTAAAACACTAAGCATTAAAACCTTCTAAAATAACTGTGACCTCTGGGACGGCTCATGCTGCTGACTCACTGTAGTACAAACTTCATATAATTTCCTATTTCCTGTTCCTGTTCCTCTTTCCTATTTCCCTATTCCGTTTCCTGTTGCACAAAAGACAAACAAACAGTCAAAGTGCAACTGTTTTTTTGCAATACAAAAATGAAACTTATCTTAGTTGTCAAGGCAACATTTCTCATTTTTGTTTAGTTTAAGCTGAAGTACTAAAATGATTAAAAGTAAAAACTCAAACTTAATAAAAACTATATAGACACGTGAATATAAATAATTAATTAATAATAATGACAAAAACACAAAACAAAATAACTAAAACGTACAAAAATAAAATGAAAACCGAGAATATAAAAATAAAATGAAGTCATAATATTATCAGAAACTGTAAAAGTATATCAAAGATACTAAAATAGCACTGGCTTGACTGAATGAATGATGAGAATGAAACTAGTGTTCTGACACATAATAGCAAGCAAAATTACAAGCCAATGTGTTTTCTTTTTAAGCATGCATTATTAATATAAGAACCAATATTTTATTTATGCACAATTGTCGGGAACAGTCTGAACTCATTAGATGTGGAAAAATTCAACATTAAAACTTGTTCTCATAAAACACACCCACTCAGAGTTTCATAATGTCATTTCAATATTTAAGCCTTTGAAGCTGGAAAAGAAATTCCACTTTAAACAAAAGCTTCATTACAGCCGGATGAAAAATGCATTTTCAGCTCTTGATGTGGATTAAATCCACACTCCATTCAGCTCTCGTCATGCTAATGAGCTTTTCTGATAGAATTGACCTACTTCTGTACTGAATTACTCAAGTGGGAAATACAAAGTGTTTGGACAGTGAAAGCACATTTAATGTCTGAGTGTAGTAACATATCAAAGAAAGTGTTTGAGTGATTCAGATGGTCACTGTATCTGGTGCATCATAGTAATATCTGATTGTTTGTACTGATAAATGAAGTTTACGTCTTGCAATTGTTCAGTGTGAGCTGGAAAAACTAGAGATGGCCAGTTACATCCAGTTGCAAACTGACTCCGCTGTGCATTTATTGTTTGTGTTTTTACTTAGTTTTATTTTTTCTTCATGGCAGTTTATTAGTGTGGTATCATGTACAATACAACATAGGATGTCACATAATTTTGCAGAATTTGAATGAATAAATCGAAAGAATGAATGAATAAGGTTTAAATGCAATGTTCATTTGTCAAAAAATGGAAGGAATTTCCAAATTTCATTTTGATTACATTTTAAAGGATTGCTTAAATTGTTAAAGTTTAATGCATTCATTTGATCACGGCTGTTTTTTGATAATTTGTAAAACACTAAGCATTAAAACCTTCTAAAATAACTGTGACCTCTGGGACGGCTCATGCTGCTGACTCACTGTAGTACAAACTTCATATAATTTCCTATTTCCTGTTCCTGTTCCTCTTTCCTATTTCCCTATTCCGTTTCCTGTTGCACAAAAGACAAACAAACAGTCAAAGTGCAACTGTTTTTTTGCAATACAAAAATGAAACTTATCTTAGTTGTCAAGGCAACATTTCTCATTTTTGTTTAGTTTAAGCTGAAGTACTAAAATGATTAAAAGTAAAAACTCAAACTTAATAAAAACTATATAGACACGTGAATATAAATAATTAATTAATAATAATGACAAAAACACAAAACAAAATAACTAAAACGTACAAAAATAAAATGAAAACCGAGAATATAAAAATAAAATGAAGTCATAATATTATCAGAAACTGTAAAAGTATATCAAAGATACTAAAATAGCACTGGCTTGACTGAATGAATGATGAGAATGAAACTAGTGTTCTGACACATAATAGCAAGCAAAATTACAAGCCAATGTGTTTTCTTTTTAAGCATGCATTATTAATATAAGAACCAATATTTTATTTATGCACAATTGTCGGGAACAGTCTGAACTCATTAGATGTGGAAAAATTCAACATTAAAACTTGTTCTCATAAAACACACCCACTCAGAGTTTCATAAT